TCAAGCAGCAAATCAGCATATTAGAATAACAGCTTCGAATGAGGCTCAACCAATCAGAATCAAGGACCGGAACTATCCGTTTTATAAATAAGATTTTAACATATTCACATAGGAAACAGTTATTTTAAATGGTAATAATATTTCACAGTTTACTGTATTTTGATCAAACAAATGCAGCCTTTGTGAGAATAAGAGATGGCTTTCAGAAACATTTACAAATGGTAATAATTCCAATCATTTGGCCGGTGCTGTTGGTTATACGGTATCTGTTGATGTGTTTGTTCTGCCCCCTCCAGGTCACTGCTGGGTAGTGCGCGAGGGCCTGACCAACCCCTGGATCCCTGATAACTGGTCGTGGGGCGGGGTGGCGTCTGTACACTGTCCTGTCGTGGCTGAGTTCTTCGTGGACGTCATGCTGAAGGAACTGCTGTGCAAAGGGAACGGAGTGGCGGTGGTGGAGAGAGGAGACTCCATGTCCAAACACGAGCGGTGACCTTTGACCTTTTACATGGTCCCTGTGGAAAAGGTCACCCGCGTCTGGACTGACACTATGACTGTCTGAATGCAGATGAAGAGAGCGAGAAGTGCGCCATGATTGCCTTTGTTTTGTCCGTTCAATGTACAGTAGAGATTCTATAGCAACAACCAGTTGATTTTAATATAGAACAGTGTAATGAGAGATATTTAAACACAGATTTATTAAACATGTACATACAATGAAGTGAAATAAGAAACAAATGACTACTGTGTGCCAAAACTTTTTAAGTGAGAACAATAAATCAATATTTACAACCTCTCGAATGCGGTGATTTAAGCGACATGTGTTAGGTATTGCATACTAAGTGTAAGAAAAAGTGAAGACGTCGAAGATCTTGATGAAGAATAACTTTTATTACAGAATAGTAGTGACAAAGTACATGTAGTACCTTGGGTTCAACGGAGTCAGACTGAACCCTGAACATCCTAAGCTCAATCATTTTATACAGTATTACGTTCATCTTCCCGTTCAACATGTAAATTAAGTTTCGTTTTAAATGTAAATTGCGGATGACATTGAAAGTGATAGCCTTCCGTTCCCACATCTTCGGTAGCCTCAAGTGGGAACAACCAAATGTTAAGGTGATAAGATTAAACAGAATCCATAGCAGTTATTTCATGTACCCTTTTGGTCAGCAGATGGTTCTTGACGACTTGCTGCTTCTCCCAAGCTATAAGTGACAAATTATCGCTCCGGAGGTACTATTTGCATATGATTAAGATCGGAAAGAACTATCTATATGATAATTAAGCTCTTTGTAGAGAAAGGAGCATAGTTTAATACACAATTTGGAGTGGAAGCTGGGTCGAGGCAGACTATAATTTCTAACATAAGATTCAAAAGATTATTTATTGATTTTTTGGACCAAAGGAAAATGAGAAACGTTACTTTTGCAGCAATATTAAAACAAACTTTTTTTTTCTTTTACATTTTTGCCGTTATTACGATAGGAGAGTTAATTGACACTGCCCACGAGGCTATCGGCGCCAACAAAATAAACTTTTTTTTTTTATATTTTATTTCAGTTAACATTTATTGTATTAGAAGTAAAAAAAAAAAGTGGTTTTGGTTAACTGTAATAACCCTGGTTAGACTAAGGCCAGAACCTCACAAGCTTAGAGAAGCTGCATGTAGCAGTAGAAAATGGCCTAAAGCTGAAAGTGCTGTCATACTGCTGTCTATCTGCTTTTAGACTTGCGCTATTTATCTAGCAAACATTCACCTGTTTGCTCAACGTTAGGTTCTGACACTCATGCTCAGTGAACTTTACACGCTCAGCAGATGAGCCGTACAGCTGCAGTGAAAAATACTAAAACACAATGTCAGTCACTTCATGCTAATGTTGAGTCACTGCTCTGATCATCTGCTGTGAGTTACAGTTACAGGACTTCTGCTTTCAGATTTTCATGTGCACATTCTCAAAACAACATCTATTAGCTTTAGTAAATCCTTTAAAAATCACCTTTAATTTCTTTTTTTCTTCTCTATAAATAGCTTATTGTCCATGTTGTAAAGCATGTAAAATACAAGCCCTTGTTTTATTTACAGTGTGCTGTGCATATTTAAAATTGCATGTTAGGTAAAATCAAATATACAGTATGTTCTATATACGTTGCACACAAATATACACCCATAAAGACATTTAAAACATGGATTTATGTTTTATTTTATTTTTTCTGGCAGGGCAGAAAAGCGGTCCAGTGTGTCCTCTAGTGGCCACTTACCTTTACTGCCTAAATGTGCATTTCATAACTAAATGGAAAATTAATAAAAGAGCAGCTGTCAAAATAAAATGTAATAATAATCAATTATTTATATGTAATTTATTAAATTAGTATTTAAATATTATAGTTAAACACAATTTTTAACATTAATTAAATAATTTCAATTGACAATTTGCAAAATGCTTCATTTACATTTTGATTTCCTATTAATAAATATATATTATAAAACGGATAGTTCCGGTCCTACTGTAACACCGTGTGTCCCAACCAGACACGACGCGATAAAAAGTACCTTTTCCTTGTAGTTTTTGTCCTAACCACCCGCCACAGCGACAGCGACACGTGACAATAAGCGACACGGGATTCTATTTTAGAAATGCAGAAAATATGATAATCTGTCTAGGCTATTGTATTTTATTGCGTCGCGTCCGGTGTAGACACGATGTAAATTATGACTTTCTGATGCTGCGTTTGAATTTTCATGCCACATTATTTGAAATTAGCACGGGCCAAACTTTTTTCTCTCAGGGGCCTTGGATGTGGCCCGCCTATTGAGGAACCCTGCTTTACAAACATGCACCTTTGTTTACATTTGTGTGTTGCTCGGTAACCACTTAGTTGGAACCACAACCATTTCTAACTACATTGTTTGGCGGAAGAATAATGTTTTTATTAATATCATTGCACCACGGCTTCTTGCTTTAATCAACTATTTTAAGTGAGACTCATCCTCCATTCTGTTCAAATGCCTTTGATTACATTTGCATTTTTATACAACAGTAATTAGTGCTGATGTAACAAGGATGGGATGATACATTTTTTTACCAGTATGTGTGTTTGCTGGGAATTGAACCTTCAACCTTTTGCGCTGCTAACGCAATGCTCTACCACTGAGCCACAGGTACATTTTATAGTCTCATTATTATATGATTATGAGTATAATATAAGATAAATATAAGCCTCAGATCTCAGAAATCTCAATAAAAATGTATTGCATTTCAGCATATATAATTATGGTAATTTGTTCATGTTATGAGTGTCATGAATGTCCACATGACGCCACAATCTGTTTAATCCCACAGATTGCAGGAAGTGTGAAAGCCAAGACCTCATAGAGATTAATGGGGCCCGTGTGTGTGTGGTTGCAAGCGCAGCTGAAAACTGAAACCCTTTGTCCTGCATGTCTGTCCTTGTAAGTGTCAATCAGCAGGTGATCTGGTTACAAAGACATGTGAGAACAGACACCTGTGGAAAGAGTTTGCCAAAAGATCACTTACCGTGTGTTTGAGAGGGCATTGTGGGAATGGAGACTGATCATTGCTCACTTGTAAACAATGAGCATACTTTGTTTGAAGTCATGGATAAAATCACCTGTAATTAAAGATGGAGTGGCAGTTTGATGTAATTTCTATAGTTATAAATAATTAAAAATAAAATAAGTTATTAAGTATATATATATATATATATATATATATATATATATATACTCAATAATTCCAGTCTACCCTGTTACACTGGTGCTACTTACCCTTAAAATCTTAAGAGTATGCCATAAATCACATGACTTGTTGGAAATGACATCACTTCCTTGGAGGGAAAGCAACTCTAAGAACAAAGTATGTTAGTCATAAACATGTCCACCCTGTTGTGTCTATTAATAGATGTTATATATCTATTAATATTCTTACTAAATGTTAATCTTCTGCTAGCATGTTGTTCTTTTTTAGCTAGGGTTTCAACTGTCCACCCTGTAACACATTGCATTGTAAAGATGTCATGTAACAGGGTGGAAAATTAGCTAGAATGTGAATGTAAAATGTGAAATATTTGGTCAGGATTATTAGCTTGAGCCTGAACTTGACCAGTGTGTTTCTCTAATAGACAGGCATTTTCTTCCTCTGATAAGACTAAAAAAAAATATAATTTTTAGTTTATTTTTCAACAAACTTATCAGTCCAAAATCCACCAAACTGTGAATGAGACATTAAGATGATTCATAAGTAATGAATTGTCATGGACAATCAAGACACAACCTAGAAAGAATAAGCTGAAGCTACTTCCTATGAACCAGTATGCAAGACACAATAAACTATATTTGAAAAATATCTGAAATCATTTCAATTTAATTTAATTTAATTTAACATGCTTTAAAATGAACATCTGAACAGAGCTTGTCTGAATGCAAGGCATGAATTTATTTGATTTAGATATATTAAGATCATATTGAGAAGTTGTCATGGGCCATGAAATCATTTTATAGGCAACTTTAAAGTGCTTTTTGATGTATGGGAAAATGACAGGAACAGAGCAAGGTCAAAGGTCATACACATCAACAATACAGTCAAGGTAGGGCAGTTATTCATATAATGTATATTTAGTATGTGACATTTAGGACTGTCTGCTTCCATGAAGGACACTTTTTAAACAAAGGTTAACATTTTGGCACCCAGAAAATGACTCTTTTTGTAATCATCAACTGCTTAAGATTCAAATCATCCACAAGTTATATTGTTAAATGCATGCCATCATAAATATGAAAACCATTATATAAGCAGTTTATAAGATACACAAATTAAAATGTCATAAGAATTCAGGAAATAAACAGCTTAAGGATCTTGTAGTACATATGAATGTTTGGCAATCTGTAATTTGGCCCCTCAGTATCCCCTAAAAGCGAATGCACATGTCCTGAGAACCTTCAGAAGGGACTTAATGCTCTGCACTGGCTAAAAAAAAAATTACAAGTTTTACCAAAAAAAAAAAAAAGCTCCATAGGCCCCTATGTAGACTGATTGTTTGAGTCTCTATCCCAGAAATCTCTTTATTTTCCAATCCACCTCAGGGCAAAACTCATCAAAAAAACAAAAAAGCATGAAGAGCTCAAATTGAGCCTGTTTTAAAACTATTAAGATTTTTTGCATTGTAACATTTTGTAATTTGGTCATTTGTTTTTACGTGTTGGAATATTAGTAATGATTAATGTCTGTGATATAATTAATTTTCACATTACAGTAATCGAAATGAGATTTTTGTAAATTTGCGCTAAATGAGGTACGAGAATTACAAGAATCTGAGGTTAGAGGCCCTAAGTGTCATTAAAATAATTTTTGAAAATTCACAAATATTTAATGCTTCTAAAAATAAGCTTACTTTTTAATGCTAAAAGTAATTTCATCTTTCTTTAGGTTTTAGTGAAATATGACCTGAACATGTTTTTGTTTATGAATGGTAATGTATGACCTGGACAGGTTTTGTGAGATTCATGCTGGAGGTCAGAGGTCACATGTTCAGATAAGTATGCACAGCTCCTCATCAGTTAACTGGTTGACCTCCATGATTTTATGAAGCTGCTCCGTGTAGCGCGCTTGGTCCTGCAGGAAGTGAGGAATCCGCACATGCTCCATCAGAGCCAGACTCTTCAGGCGCTCCACGTCCTCATACGACACCTGCACAACACACACACACTCCATGATTTTATGAAGCTGCTCCGTGTAGCGCGCTTGGTCCTGCAGGAAGTGAGGAATCCGCACATGCTCCATCAGAGCCAGACTCTTCAGGTCCTCATAGTCCTCATACGACACCTGCACAACACACACACACACACACACACACACACACACACACACAGTTAAAAGTTAAAAGCTGCATGAAAAAATGTAAATGCAGTTTTTCAATTATTAAACTATCAAACTTTTACTTTGATGTAAAACCGCAGGAAAGCCCATAAAGCTTCTCTTTTGTGCTTCTCATTACAAGTATGGGAAGATGGCTGGCTCATGTTTTGTTCCCAAATGCACATTAAACACACTCAGACTCAAAGGAGATGCAGAGATGGAGATCATGTGGAGCAGCATTCACTGTGAATCGATCCGAGATGCTTAAACTTGAATTATGAGCTGCTCATGTGTAAATGAACACAGTGCTGCGCTTCACTCAGCACATATATTGATTTTATTGAATATTGTGATTTAGCTTTCATTTCAATTAATCTTGCAGCAAATAAAAGTTAAGTGTGTCAGTAAAGTACCTTTCCCAGAGCCATGAGAAGCTGGAAGTCAATCTTGTCTCTGTGTCTGAGGATCTTCAGGATGCCATCTAGATAAACCTGGTCCTTACTGAAACAACCTTAATAACAAAAACATTTTATTATTTACACGCATAAGCAAGCAATAATAATTATGTAAGATGTCATAAGCCTTAGAATCATTGACCGATATATATTTCCAAGGCCGATATATCGGCCGATAATTAGCATTTTTTAATTATTGGCATTGTTCGGAAATTCTTGCTTACAGTGCATACATCCTTCTTATTCACATTCATAAAAATGTCTTTATTTGTGAAAAATACTACAATAGAATTACAGAATCAAGACATCACCATCTAAATAAATCTCTATACCTTACAGATTTATTTTTTATCAAGTTCAAATTATTCTTATTTTTTTCATATTTAGTAATTTTCAAATTTAGTAAATATTATGTCAAATAAATATAAATTTAATTTCAGCTATTGTTACGCATGTGTTTTTGCTATCTTTAAATTAAACAGTGTGACATCAAATATATATTGACTTTATACAAAACTACCAAATTTTGCTATGTTTAATCACAACATATAATCATTGCAGTTAATAGTGTTCACTGATTACATATCATTAACTAACTGCATTAATTTTACCATACATTTCTGCCATATGGACATCAACTTGACCTAGTCACCACTGATAAGCTAAAGCTACTACTAAATATAATGTAGAAACTTTAAATTAGAAACTAAAATTTTCTGTAAAGCTGCTTTGCAACGATTTGTATCGTGAAAAGCGCTATACAAATAAACTTGAACTGAATTGAAATTGACTTTATATCGGTTATCAGCCACCCTGCTCAGATATCGGCATCATGCTGTACCTGGCAGTGCCGTGTCGGTCTGTCCTCGTTTGGCTCTGACGCAGTAGTCCCATCGCGTGTTGGGGTCGTGCAGGAACCGGCCCAGGTTGTGAAACAGCTGTGAGAAGGACATGCGGCTGGCCTGGTAGACGGTGTAGTAGAGCAGGGCGGCGCGCCACAGCGTGGGGTCCTTGCGGAAGAGCACGCTGTGGATGCTGGCTAGACCCTCCTCAGTGGGGTTGATAGGCCGCAGACCGTGCTTCTTCCTGCCGCCGCTGCTGCCCCACGGCTGGTGACTGTTGTTGATGCCACGGAAGTAGTGCGTACCTGTGTGATAGATGTAGAGGGGTTTACTCTAGCAAATAATTCAGAACAATCTGGATTCATTCATTCATATTGGAAGATCAAACTTCATCAAAATTACTATTATAAAATGGATAGTTCCGGTCCTTGATTCTGATTGGTCTGCGTTCGATGAAGCCGTGGTTTACAGTGAATTTATAACAGCTAAGGGGGTTGCTTCACGTCGTGCCTAACAAGGCCCCTTAGCTGTTATAAATTCACTGTAAACCACGGCTTCACGGGGCTTATTGCTTTAATAACTAATAATAATAAATAACTAACAATAATATTCGAAGAACCATTCATTTGTAATGAGCAGGATGTTTAAAAAATGTTTTAATCAATATTTCTACCAAAATAAAAAAATAATTTAGAGCTTGGCATAACTCAAGAAAATATAAGTATAAGCAATATCAATAAAGATGCTTTCACCATTTAGCTCAATTCATTCACAATTATAAGCCATTATCGCACCCCTTGTGATACACTTTTAACATTCCAAAATTTCACTTTAGTATACTTTTTTATGGAAATAATATAAATATACTGTAACATGATATACTTTAAAAAAGTAGACTAAATGTAAGACACTGAACTGTATGCTAACTGCAATTAAAATGGAAATGTAGAATATTTTACATTGATATTAAATTCGCCCACTAAAGTAGGACTTAAGTACATCTTTATATGTAATTTCATAATTACCTATACTGTCTTTGAAATATGGTTAAAGTTACTGCCGAATATACTGACAAGCATTTATGATCAACTAAAATATACTTTTTCATTTTTATTGAAAATTGTGTCATGTATTTAAATATATTTGTAATTATATGATGATTATGATGATAAAGTTGTAATTTACTACATTTAAAATATATTAAATTTAAATGTTATACTGAACAACACATGACAGTTACAATTATAATCAATCAATACTTTCCATGTGCTTTAGTATGTTAGTCAACAATAAGTGCAAACATAATGAATTAGAATGTAATTAAAACTTTTGACATAATTATTAAGTGTACTTTTGAAAAATGTACTTAAGTGTCTCTCTTTAAGTGCACTTAAGTGTTCTTTTATTTTATTATTATATGATCTGCAAGTATTTTTTTATTTTTAAGACTTCTAGCGCATTAATAATACAATTAACCACACTTCTTTTTCACAAGGCACTCACTTGTGACTACTGAACATAGCTTTACCAAAAATTGCAAACAATTGCTAGGTCAAGTCTCCAGCAGCCAACCCCTGATTTCTGAGCAGACCAACAGAGAAAGTGAAGCAGAGCGAGAACACACAGCGTGGGAGTGTAATTAATGTGGTCCTGACACTGAGCTCTGATACGCTCAGGGTCTAATAGTCCCTGACAGCAGGAGCACAAGCTGTTGCCGACACGGACGGCTGGTTTTTCTGGGGTGACCGAGACACGATCCACAGTACAGAGCTGGTGGATCATGAAAGACTTGAATGGGTCTCACTATTCTAATATGAGACTCAGTGGACTGTCAGATGCTGATATAGACAAACACGCACCGATTTCATGCCTCAGCATCCCCTCCAGCCACTGCTCTCTGGCAGTAGAGATGTTAATGGTGAGTGTAGGTCTGCTGTTCACCACAGTCATAGACGCTCTGGACAGGAGGTCATCAGTGAGATTAACCACAATCTGCAGAGAGAGAAAATTTTACATCTACACTCAAGATGATATCGACCAAATAATATCAATAAACAACACTACCATTCAAAAGATTGGGGTCAGTAAACCAGCATATTAGAGTGATTTCTGAAGGATCATGTGACACTGAAGATAGGAGCGATGATGCTGAAATTTCAGCTTTTCCATCACACGAATAAATTGCATTTTAAAATGTACTATGATAGAAAACAGTTATTTTAAATTGTAATAATATTTCTAAACTTTTGCTGTATTTTTGATCAAATAAATGCAGCCTTGGTGAGCATAAGAGACTTCTTTCAAAAAAAAAAAAAACTTTTAATGATAAATTATTTCATATTTTTCTCAACTGTTTTTGAGATTTTTTGATTGAATTAAAAGTGCAGCTAACAAACTGTGAATTTGCATTTAAATTCTTCTTTTTAATGATCTCGCTCTCTCACCTCTCCCATGCATCCTTCCTTCTCCATGTATTTTTTGACATGGTACCAGATGCGGCTCTTGGTGAGGATGTTTCCTCCAGTAGCCTGTTCAAACTTCTCATAGGAGCCGTATTTCTGCAAGGCCAACTCCATGATCCGCACAGCCTAAGACGACAGCAAACACTCAGGAGACAACTTTTACAGATAACACCTTTTGCTGCCTAAGTGAGCCTAAATTAGTCCCTTGTGTAGTAGGACTGATATGGCGCTTTTCCCAGTGGAAAAGCGCCAATATTTGGGACTGCTTGTGCTTTAAGATAAATCTGTGTAAGTGAAATATGCCTGCAGAAGCATAACTCAATATAACGCTCAATTGTTACGTCATGTATGTACAGACCATATAGCTGGGGCTTTGGTGTTGTGTGGATTTATGAAAACTGATTTGTTATCCATCAGGTTATGCCTGAGGTTGATCCACAATGAGCTCGGCACTCTGAGATAATCAATATAATGGTCTGAAATGAATCCATTTATCCTTTGCTGCAGCACACAAAGCTCTAATACAGCCACTATACCCTACATTTAAACATTAATCCATAAAATATAACTTGCTATGTTGTTTTTGTTGGCTTTTGCAGCCAGGAAAACTATTATGGGATCTCTGATGCCCTGTATAAAGTGCTCTGTGTTGGTCTCTCGGTGTTGGCTCTGTTTAATAGCTAGCGGGAAACTGAATTGAATTGAAATAATTAACTCTTTAACCTTCAAAGAGGTTTATTAGTCTGACTGTGTTGTTGGCAACACATACAGTTGTAGCACACTGCTTTGAGCTGCTGAGCCTGAGACGCAGCTATAAAGGTAAAGCACTTGTTTCTAACTTAATCCATGTTGAACGTACAAAACTAAAGAGTCAGAGTGTTTATTTCAGGAGCAATTCCTATTAATCTCACTTACAGGACTGTGACCTTTCAGCAGGGGTGCCAAACTCAGTTCCTGGAGGGCCACGGCCCTGCAGAGTTTAGCTTCAGCCTTAATTAAACACATCTACAGCTAATCAAGTTCTTCAGGATTATTTGAAAACTACTGGTAATATGTGTGTTGGAGGAGGGTTGGAACTGCGGCCCACCAGGAGCTGGATTATGGCATGTGAATGAGAATAACGAACGCAAAACCTTATAGAAGATATCAGCATAAAAAAGGATGAAAGCAAATGAATGCTAAATGCATAAGTCCTTTTTAAAGCAATGCAGCATGCAATAAAATTAAAAACAAAACCATTAGACATAAAAGCATTTGTTAATTACTCATAGGCTGAATCCCAATTTGCATACTATCCAACTAAATAGAGTAGCGTAAGTGCATCACATCACAACACATATGCTAAAGGTGTACAAATTACTATTTGGCTAATTTTGAGTATGCATAATTGTATGATTTTCAGTCTAGTATTTGTCACAACCCCTTGCACAGTGGAACAGGTTGTAGAACAGTGGCAAAGTATGAATGTATGTCTTGGTGAATTTTAGGGTAACGAAGTTTGCTAGACACTAATGCTAATGTGCAAACGCAAGCATTGTGCGCCAAAGTCAGAATGAAATATGGCATGCCCAAATTCAGAGGCTGTATCCTTTCAAGGCATCACAGTGGCACGACGAAGGCCGTCCATTTCAAAGCCTCCTTCAAGCGTGGCCTTGAAATGCGTCCTTCATTTTCCAAGCCACAAAGGATACAATGAATGGATCCTTCATGGACCAGACGATCTCAAAGTTCACTGCACACTGGTGACAACGGGATTTTTTTTGGAGAGAAAATGCCGAAATACATTTTTTAATAAAAGTACTAGGTTTCAACTTACTTGAATATTTAACAATACAAATGTTTAAAAAAACACTTTAAAGTGGTTCAAATGTTGACATATCTTTACATAACTGCATCTAATTTTGGAGGATGTCTTGCTACACAATGTAATTTAAAAAGGTATAGGGCCCAAAACACTCTATGCAAGTGTACTGTGCACTTACAAGACATTGGACAAGCTTTTGTTGAATACTAGTATAGTAGTAAAGGTGCGGTCACATCGTGATTTTGCCAAAATGTTGCCAAAAAAGTTCCCTTGGGTATAGTCAAACATATGAAACATAGCTCACACAGAAGTCACTTTCACACCAAACAGCTTTCTATTGGTTAGAGTGGTGAATTCATGTGTCAAACCCATTTCAAAATATGCAATGGAGAATCTTTTGTCTTCCCAATTGTAATGATTCCTGTTGAAATCACTGGATTCCCTGTTGAACAAAACAGCATATGCTGGTTAGGTATATTTTGAAGCATGGCAGCTGGTTTAAGCTGGTCCTGAGCTGGTTATAAGCTGGTTATGAGCTGGTTCTGAGCAGGAGCTCATGCTTAGGACCAGCACCTGACCAGCTTAAACCAGCTAAAAACAGCTGCCATGCTTCAAAATATACCTAACCAGCATATGCCTCAGGCCCAATTTTGAACAAGTGTATGTTTGTGACTGGATAACAGTGGATACCGAGTCAAGGTCCTTAATTTGTTCTGTGTGAGAGTATGGGCACTCACCTGTGTGAGGAAGCGGTCTGAAGCGGTGCTGTGCTTTGCTAGTACTTGTGGAGGCAGAGGGTTGCTGTACTCAAACTGAGGATTGTATTTAAAGTCTCCTTTGAAAAACCTGGCCTTCTCTTTCTCTACATTAGAAGGCTTTATGGCAGTGAGGATGCAGAGCTTCTTGATTGAGTTCTCTACATCACGAGCAGCAGGAAGCACTCTGGACAGCTGCGGGAGTTTGGTGCCGGCCGGGCAGCTGTTTTTGGGCCTGGGGATTGGTCCGGGGGACAGGCGGATGGCACTGCCCAGCATGGTGATGCTGTTAGTTTGCTTGGAACTGCTGGTGGAGAAACACAAGAACACCGACTGAGAGTGCCTGCTGTCTCTGCAACCAAAAGCCAGGCCACTCATCGTTAGAGGTGCAAGGGTCGGCAGGGGTCTGTCGTGATGCCTTGCCGTGGAGACTCGTTTGGGGCACTTGTAGGAGGAGTGTTTAGGGCTCTCCTGAGCATCTGACTCTTTCTGCAGCAGTGTGTTGTAGCTGCTGGTGGCTGTGTTAAACAGGTCCTTCAGAACGCCAGAGGATATGCGCTCCAGATGCAGCTGACTGGGGCTCACAGGCTTCTCCATAGGGCTTAGGACACAACTCTTAGACATTTCCATCTCTGGCCAATGGAGCCGTTCTGGAAGGAAATGGCAAAATATGGGGTACTACAATAATCTACTCAATTCTTAATTCCCTTTGCCAGTGAGGCATAAAAGACTATGGCTTGAACAAACAGACATATTTGGGTGATTCTTCTTTAACATTTTGTTTTCTGGAGACCATAAAAAAAACAAAAACAATATACATACAATATATACTTAAGGATGTACTACAGTGAATTGCGGTCTTGTAGTCGAGACCAGCTCATTCGATTGAAGGCTTAGACTTGAGTAGGTTATGTCTAAATAAAGACTGAGACAAGAAAAGGGTTGTGTTCGAGATCAGAAGAGTCACATCTGAGTCAAGTCCGAGACCAAAAGAAGGTCGCTTCAAGTCAAGTCTGAGACCAAAAGAGGGTCGCTTCAAGTCAAGTCCGAGACCAAAAGAGGGTAGCTTCAAGTCAAGTCTGAGACCAAAAGAGGGTCGCTTCAAGTCAAGTCCGTCGCAAATCAAGTCGCGTCATTTCTCAAACCAGAAGAGGGTCAAGTCTGAGACCAAAAGAGTGTCGCTTCAAGTCAAATCCGAGACTAGAAGAAGGTCGCTTCAAATCAAGTCCATCGCAAGTCTAGTCACGTCATTTCTCAGACCCAAAGAGGGTCACACCCGAGTCAAGTTTGAGACCAGAAGAATGGGACTTCAAGTCAAGTCTATCGCAAATCAGGTTGCGTCATTTCTCAGACCAGAAAAGGGTCATGTCCGAGTCAAGTTCAAAACCAAAAGAGGGTTCCTTCAAGTCAAATCTGAGACCAGAAGAAGGTCGCTTCAAGGCAAATCCATTGCAAATCAAGTCATGTCATTTCTCAAACCAGAAGAGGGTCACTTTATGTCAAGTTTACTTCAAGTCAAGTCCAAGACCAGAAGGAGGTTGTGTCCGATTCAAGTCAGAGTCCAGTAGAGGGTGGCTTCCGAGTCAAGTTCAAGATCATAAAGGGTCTCATCCGCGTGAAGTCAGAGACCAGAATAAGGTTAAAGGGATAGTTCACCCAAAAATGAAAATTCTGTCATTAATTACTCACCCTCATGTCGCTTCAAACCCGTAAGACCTTCGTTCATCTTCGGAACACAAATTAAGATATTTTTGATGGAATCTGAGAGCTGTCTGACCCTGCATAGACAGCAACGCAACTGAAATGTTCCCAAGTCCAGAAACGTAGCAAGGAGATCAGTAAAATAATCCATGTGACATCAAGGGTTCAACCGTAATTTTACGAAGCTAGGAGAATACTTTTTGTGCGCAAAAGAAAAAAAACCCGACTTTATTCAACAATTCGTCTCCTCCGCGTCACCCTGTAGTGCCATTTTGGAGAATATCCGCTGGACGTAAACACTTCGCTGAACGAAGGTCTTACGGGTTTGAAACGACATGAGGGTAATTAATGACAGAATTTTCATTTTTGGTGAACTATCCCTTCAAGTGCAAAGTCCATGACAAGACAAAGACAATAAAAATATGGACTCTGGAGTTCGGTCTTGAGTACTACAACTAACAACACCCTTTTGTCATGACAATATCAAAATATATTAGGATGGGATAACAGAGAGCACCAGGTGGAATTTCAAGTAAAGGAAATACTGCTGGTCCTAAACTTGAGACCAGCCCCGTAATTGTCAATTCAGTGTTGTGTCCCCATTTCCCTGGAAACAAAATCTCCTTCGCCTACTTAACCTTGAATCCAACAAAAGACGAGAAACAGATCCGAACAGCACAGTGAAATGCAGCACGCTGTAAGCAGCTCTTTCACTGTCTAGTGATTTGACTTCACAAACCAGGCTAATCCTATTAAGGAACAAATAATATTCCCCATTCAGCATGACAGGTACTGCTTGACAATCATGCTATGCATTCAATGATCCTGCAGGCTTTCGTAATCCCAGTCTGTTCCACATTCGTCACTTTGGATAGGCATCTGCTAAATGAATAAATGTACTGTAATGTATTTATTACATCATCTCAGGAGGATAGAATAAGGATGCATTTACTGTATCAGTGTTAGGTCATGTGGCACACAATGGCAGTCCACGTGCCTCTGCGAAATGATCCCAGGCCTTATCATAGAGAACAGCTCTGACAGGTGCACTGATGTAGAAGAGCCACAGCCTCAGCATCACAGAGCCAACCCAGTGAAGAAGCACATACGACTGTCTGCCTATGTTAAGATCTTAGGGCTTCATTGGATGATGCAGCATGCATGAAGTAGACTTGGAAACACGTATGTCAATGCATTGGACACGACAAAAGTGAACTCATTTTACTTTCTGGAGCCATTTTTGTAATTAAGTAGTGTCGCAGTAGCCTAGTTTTGGTGGAATCGAATGTATGAAATCAGTTCCTTTCAAGTCTCTGCAGTTAATCATAAGAAATCTCGTTTTGATTTAACATCCACTTCAATTCCCTAAAGCAGTAGGTCATTATATATCTATGCAATCCACTGAAGAACACCGTGTTGTAACAACATATACTAACAGACTCACCTGTAACTTCAATGGATTCAAGCATCATCTCGCTTGTGCTACGCAGCCTCAACCGTTTCCCCGTGAAGCAAATGTGTTTATACAAAACAATGAAGCGCACAAACAACACGACAAATACTCAGTAATGCGGTTATAATATCTTGCATAAGTCCAGCGCAGAGTAACGCTGTAGTTTGCAAATCTCCGCCAATCTCTTCTGTCCGGAGTCTGAAGCGAGAGGCTGAGAGCGTTAGCGCGTTGCCATGGTGCGCCGTCAAAGTCAACGTCAACGTCACCCAAACGTCAGTTCCGTTTCGAACGTGGCTTCAAGTCGAGAACTAGTGATTTGATTTAAGTGATACATTTGTTTGAGAATACATTTCACACGGTAAACATTTCAATGCATTTAACGTACTTTACTATTAACAGTGCTGGCTGGGTAGTAATTGATTACATGTCATCTGAATTAGGTAATCCGATTCCAAAAATTAAGTAATTGTAATTACATTAAAAAATGCTCGTGATCAGACTAGTTACTTTTGTATTGATTAGGCTACATGTTATTCACACAATAGCAATACATTATTCATAATTTATTGATTCCCCTTTTTCATCTTTTAAACGTTCCTTTCTAAAATAGCCTGCGGCTTATAGATACACTCAGAAAGTCTTCCAGTTTTGTGGACATTCACACAGAGACCAGTCACTATCAGGTGGCTACACAGCATTTAACCACTGATTTATAAAAATCATTTCAGGTTTAAGAAGTGTGCATCAACTAGTGATGAACACATTACGTTTTATTTGAATTAGGTTGTTTCACCATGTATTACTATGTCATTTGGGGGGCTTTTGTCTTTCAAACACATTGAATTGCACAAATTCATGTTATTTCTTATTTACATGTAATGCAGGCATACCTAAACTTTGTCATCTGAACCTCTTTCACCTATTTACTTGGGGGGGGGGAATTAATTAATAATCAATAATCACATTTGCATGTTCAGGGTTCTCTGACTTCGGTTAATATTCACATGACATGCAGGTACACAAATAATAGCCTGCATTTAATTTTTTCTAGTAAGCGTTTTATTTTGATGTTATTAAAATGATTGTAATTTTACATTTGTATAATTATTAACTTCTTGAAGTCTCAGACATCCTGCAGTTCCTTGACGTAATGTAATGTTTAATGCACTATATGTTGCGAATTACAACAAATGGAGTTTTTCTTACTCTTTGTATTTTTATATCGATATGATACAAGACTATCCTATTTAAATCGATGTGATATAACGGGTTATGTTAAAATTAATCTAAAACTAATCAGAGCGTAGTCTGATTATATTACCTAAAATGTGTAATATAGCCTTATGGATTACGTTACTAACTTTAATTTTTGTCATGTAACTTAGAATCAGCAACGGTAATCTACAAGTAATCTACACAGCTCTGACAGTTGTTTATGAATGCTTTAAACACAAGACCGAATATGTAAAGCATGTTTACATTTTTAGTTACTTTTCATACTGCATGTCTTAAATGTATTTGTAATTTATTTTAATTACTTATTTCTAAGCCATCAGGACCTCATGATCTCTATTTAACGACCTTCTTTTCTTTTAAACACTTTATCATTTTTTTTGTTGTTGTTTTTTAGCCTCTGATTTCATGTTTTTGCTGTTACAACCTTCCTGCGTATTGTAAAATATACTGAAACAATATTTAATCTAATTCCTGTGATATTCATAGACCAGAGTTAGCCATTCGGACCAGCGAAGTACAAATATTGCAGTTCTCATTGTACGCATTCATACAGCCCAGAAACATTTCATTATTCCCATCTAAATTATGCTTTGAAGAAAAAAATAACAGTACCACACACACAGCTTTATACTTCCCTCTTGTGGAGATACTGAACATTTGAAGCTTGTAAGACGAAAGAAAGAAAAAAAATCATTAAATGTCTAGAAAGTTAGCGGTGATAATATCGTTAAGGAAGCACACGAGTTTTATGGCCAAGATTTATTTGAAGCAAAAAAAAAAAAAAGGTTGTGGGTTACAATATACTTTTAAAACATCTTTTGTGACAGAACAAAAAAGACAAATCTAGATTGTGTATACTGAATAAAAGTTCTACTTTAAAACATAATAAAATACAGTAATAAAAGGTAAGTTTAATTTGTAGAACATTACGGTAATTAACATCCGTTCATCTATATAAACCACATTTTAACACCAGATGATCAGATGTACCTGGTTAGAGTTCACAGTTGCTCATACATTGGGCCATTTTCTGAATTTCAGCCAAAAAACAAACACAATCTCTATTATTATAGCTCAATTGAAAAGTTTTTTTTCCTTCACTGCCAAAAAGTTTTCTATGAGGACTTGTGTTTTAGATCTGTGGTGAGGCTTTTATGATGATACAGAGTTCAGTTTAGAAAACGCGAGTGGCGACTCACAAATCTTTGAAGATAACGGGGATGATACATAACTTTGTACAACCTTCAAGTTTAAAATGTCTTCTCGGGGAGTGTCCAAGAGCAACAGCTTTAATGGTACTCAATGTGTATCTTGTCAATCAGTCTATTATCTGCAGATCTTTGGGGAGCTGCCGTCTCTCTCTCAGCTCGGCTGTGGTTACTCCATGCTCTCAGGGTCTGCCTGGGCCATATACGCATCCAGCTCAGCATCCAGATGGCCCTTGGTCTTGGACATGTAAGCATCAAGCTGGTTGTCCAGCTGCTCTCGTGTGACGACGGGACGGCCTGCTCCTCGGCCTCTGCCACGTCCACGACCCCTTCCTGCAAACCCTCCACGACCTCTCAGACCCCCGCGGCCTAAGAGAGACAATCATAGACTTTAATGTTCAGAGACAAACATTTAAAGGATAATGTACTCACACCCATGTCATCCAAGATGTTCATGTCTTTCTTCAGTCGCAAAGAAATGACATTTTTTGAGGAAAACATTCCAGGATTTTGTTCAATGTAGTAGACTTCAAAGGTGGCCAACGATTTCAAGGTAAAAAATGCAGCTTCAAAGGGCTCTACACGATCCCAGCTGAGGAATGAGGGCCTTATCTAGTGAAACAATCGGTCATTTTGTTTAAAAAAATTATATTTATACACTTTTTAACTACAAATGCTTGGCTAGCATTAGCTCTGCGATGCGCGTCTTCTTTACGTGATGTTGGAAGTCACACATGACGTATAAGTGGAAGTACCGACCCAGTGTTTAGAAAGCAAACATGCAAAAAAAAAAGTCAAATGCTCTTTAAAAAAAAAAGAAGGGGTAAATCGAAGTACAAAGACGAAGAACTAACCGTGTGTGACCTTTCCAACATGATTACATAATGTGTGACGACGCGGATGCGCATCACAGAGCTAGTGCAAGAGCAGCATGTGTTTAAAAATTTTATAAATATTATTTTTCAGAAAATGATCGATCTTTTCACTAGATAAGGCCCTTATTCCTCAGCTGGGATCGTGTAGAGCCCTTTGAAGCTGCATTTTGACCTTGAAATCGTTGGCCACCACTGAAGTCCACTAACATTGAAAAAAATCCTGGGATGTTTTCCTCAAAAAACTTCAATACTTTGCGACTGAAGAAAGAAAGACATGAACATCTTGGATGACATGGGGGTGAGTAAATTATCAGGAAATGTTTATTCTGGAAATGGACTTATCGTTTAAGCCAGGGGTCAGCAAACTCTTTCCTGGAGTTGCCGGTGTTCTGCAGAGTTTAACTCCAACTTGCCTCAATACACCTGCCAGGAAGATTCAAGTATACCTCGTAAGACCTGGATTAGCTGGTTCAGGTGTGTTTTATTAGGGTTGGAGCTAAACTCTGCAGGACACTGGCCCTCCAGGACCGAGTTTGGTGACCCCTGCTTTAAGCACTCAAGAACAAAACAGAAAACACTAACTGGCAGAAGACTGCATTTGTTTAATGTTCAAGTCTCACTGAAAGAGGTGGTGGTATTTCTTAGGACTGTGCGGCATATCGAGTTTGTACCATATATCGATATATTTTTTTATAAGCGATATGGCAATACCGTTTATATCGATATACAGTAGTTTGATACAAGCCCATCTGAATAATCGCGGAGGACACCGAGTGAGCAGCTGCGGGTAAAGTGCATAATCCAGTTTGTCCTAAACATGAGACATGCTTTGTATAAAGGACTTGAAAATAAATGGTAAGATATAGTTAACGCATAGTTTAAAGCGGCTCGCCCCATCAGATGCTCTGACAGACTCATGTCTGCTACTCACGCTGTTTAATGCGTTTGAGATGTGCTGTTCTCATCAGTACATAACTTACATTTCACAGGTGTAGTCTCCATCTGTAAACGTTAGACAATCATGGAAATATTTCCATTTTGCTGTCAGGAGCCGCCTGCATGCGATTCTCCACTAGACTTCACAACCTTCAGTGAACGAGCGCACCAAACAGCTGAAGCTGTAATAATTGTGTCATATGTCGAATTTTAAACCTACAAGTAAATGTATTTTATAATAGCAGATAGCAGTAATGGGGTAATCAAAATATAATGCAATTATTCTGTGCTCCTGTGTTTATTTACTTTCATTTTTAGTATAGTGAATTGAACTTCTGCTTTAAAAAGCATTATTTTTGTTTGTAATGTCACAATATTAGAATGTAATGTGATTTTAGCCCCTTTTTTTGCACATAATGGATAGCATATCCTATACCAGTCAAAAAATACCGACAGATTATTTTATTTTTTTTGGCCATATCGCCCAGCCCTAGTATTTCTCACCTCTTCCTCCAGGTGCTCCACGTGCTGCTCCTCGGCCACCCAGAGCACCTCGTCCTGCGGCTCCTCCACGATAACGCATGCCTCGACGGAGACCGATACGTCCAGGACCACCCCTACCTCTCATCTGACCTGGACCTAACAGATAAGTCATTTCACCACAGGAAAATGAATGTGAAAAACTACCTCCAGAATGCATAAGGGAGTACTTGCAAAGTTGTGGCATTCTTACGTTACCAAGCTAGCTGCATGCATTATAACACCAAAACTAAGAATCTCATTGTTTTACTACACAGGACAATGCCATGTCTTTTACTGTTAACTTCTCTCAATAACTGAACATAATTCAAGAGCGGCAATGAGTCAAAATTACAAGTGGATACTGCAAAAATTATCTCCCTTAAAGGGATAATAAA